AGAAAGAATATCTCAAAGTACAAAACTGATGAATTTTATGGTAAAGTAACTCTCTCTTAAACACAGTATAAAAACCTTTAAAAGAGCTGAATTTATAGTCATTTGCAGTAAAATTGTACTATAATACTTGATAGTTTCAATTCTTGGTCATAAATTGGTAAATGATCATAAACTGGAGATCAGCAGAATTTCTAACTTATGCTCTAATTCATGTTTATCAGTGCTGTGATTTCTGCTTTGAGTACATGAAGAAGCTGGATCAGAATTAAAAAGAGTACCATTAGAGGGTAACACTCTCCCACAGTACCTTTCATTCTAATTGTTGTAAGTCTTCTCTCTTGGCTTCTTCAAATATCACCACTTAGGAGAATGGCCCTTTCTCCTAATGCTGAAGAAAAAAATCTGTGCCTTGCCAAATGGAGCTGTAGGGCTCACTGAATACTGATGACAACTCTTTATTGTGAGACTGAGTTGATAAGATTTTTATTTTTCTAGGAAGACTCTCTAAGATAAGGTACAATCTAGAATTATAATCTTCACACTGACAACTGTAAATAATAATGAAAATGAGATGATCTTACATTTTTGTAGATGATGATGACACAAACAGGTAGAATTTTTTCTTATATGCCCTGGCATTTCCAAATTTTTCTCAATGTAATCTGGATATTTATTTATAAAATGTTCTTTGTGACAAAGTTGCAACACTCATTCAAGTCCCATATAAAATACAGTGTGATACCCACCCTTTAGACTAAGGGTGTGGAATTAACAACTAGTGAAATGTCAACTTATGAAACTCCAAGCCAGTGTTTACCATGCCCACCTATCACAATGTCATATTCCGAATTACAGGTTTGGTAAAGGCAAAATTTTCTAACCACCACTCTTTAAACTTACTAGTTTAGCAAACATATACATACAACAATATTCTCTTTTACTCCCTTATTCTCTTTTACTCCCTTATTTCTATCCCCTCTTTCTTATACCATGAATTTAAATAGGCTTATAGATCAGAGGTATAAGGGGTGAAAAAATTTATTATTATAAGACACTTCAATATGCCAACATAATTCAGTAAAAATTATCATGAAAAATATTATTTGCTACCTTACAGATAATCTAGTCTAAAGTTATTGAATATACTAAGGACTGCTTTAGCTTCATTTTGCAAAAATATGCCATTATTCCATTAGAAGTGTATCAAAGAAACTAAAACTTTTAGACCTTGAAATTTTTTCTACATAGCACTGGTAGTGACAGTACTGAATGTAACAGTAACAGAATAAGCCAGGCAAATTTGGACTGAGAAAAAGAAGTGAGACTAATATAAAAGGGCTACTAGATGGGAAAAGTAAATAAATATGTGATGTGCACTATATTTTGGAGTTTCTCTAATGAAACATATGATTCCACATCCAGGAATAATCAATCTTAGTTAATTAATATATTCTAACTTTACTAAATATGTGTAAAGTGTCTTCCAGTATACTCAGACATATATGGAGGTTAGATTTATATTGTATGAAATAAAATTTTTTAAATATCACAAATTTTCTGACAAAGTTCTAAGTTTGCAGTTATATTGGAAAAAAAAAGTAAAGTCTTGTAATGATATTTGATGGGAAAGTTTAACTTGTGCAGTGCAATCAACAGAAACCAAACTAGGGAAGAAAATCACGGTCATTTTCCGAAGTGGGGACAATTCTTTAGAATTGTAGTTAATAACAATTCAAATTTAGATATGTATTTGGCATTCACAGATAGTCCATAGAACTTTCCATTATAGATCTCAGAGTGAAAGACCCTGTTTTTAAGTGCAGCCACCTTGACAGTAAGATTTGCTGTTATTTAAGGAAAAGCTTTATTGCTTTATAAGCTCTGAAATGGGAGATGGTTTATGAGTGTAACAATACATGTATTCAACATGCCTTCCAAAGTGAACTGAGAACAAGCCTGGCACCTTTATTGGACTTCTGCTCTGTTTTCCTGATCAATTTTCACTGTAGGAATATACCTGCTCAAGTACATAAGTAAAAGTGTCAGGGACTGGTCCAGCCGAAGAATGACCAAAATGACAAAATATAAATGGCAAATGCCCAGAATGTTTCCCTTTTTTTTTTTTCCAACTCTAGTCATAAACACAACAGATTCCTCTTTCTCCCACTTTGTCATCAAGACCACAGACAGCCTTCATTGTCATAAGTTGTTGAATTTGACCCACTACAGAGACCTTCAGTTTTCAAATTTAAGTGTGGAAATATATCACACACACACACACACACACACACACACTTGTTCTTTTCCTCCTACAAATTTGTGCCCTATAAAGCTATTTTTAGGCAATGAAATTAATTTTTGTTCATTATAGTTGCATTGTTTTTAGCAGCAAATTTTCAACAGAAGGAACAATGTACTGACATGAAGAACAATTCCTAAAAACATATGACAATGACCTATGGGGGAAAAATCCTTTAAAGATTTACGATTTCTAAAATTGAACAATTTAAAAAGGTTATTAGGTATCTGGATATTTTCCGAGCCACTAGTTGAGTACTTATCATTATTTACAGACCAGCCAGGTTCCATGTGGATTTTGTTTCTCAGATAGTACCTTCAACAGTGAAGAAAAAAATTAATTCCAATAAACCCTGCCTAACACAAGAGGATTAATTTCCAAAGAATTTTGAGCTCCAATACCTCATAGCTTTCCAAAAACATCACCCATCTTAGAGTTTTTCCTTAGGTTGCTACTGCATTTTGTTCATAGGCTAATGCATTATCTAAATATAGATAGCCATTTTTAGTATAAATTCCAAAACCCATAAATGTTTCATAATTGAGCACATAATTTGAAGTAAGAGAGCTTTTCCACTCATCCCTTTTTACTGTTGCAAATTGGAAAATACTCAAGTAATTACTTCCTTAATAGTTCAATGCCTGCAACTATATATACTTTATGAACATCACAAGTATCTTTTGCTCCCCAGAGCAGTAACAGCATGGTGGAGAGGGGGAAAGGAGAAGGTGCAAAATAATTTAATTTATCAATTAACCAAATTACCCAGAACTTTGATTCAAGATTCTTTCATTAAATCATTGATACTCATTGCTAAGTGGTGAGTTGTCCAGTGTTTATGATGTTTTTCATTTCAATTCAATGGCCGCAGTTAGAAAGAAAAAAACAGCATCTGCAAGATCAGCAAGATAATGCAAAACCCTTATACTAGAAACATTTCTTTTTCTACCTCCACAGTTTTATCTGGGAGCAGTCAATGCCAGACCACCAATAAGAGATGTGCTTTTAAGTCTTAGAAAGTAGTATCCACTTGTCCTCACTAAAGAAATAAGAGCACAAATAAAAAACTTGACTCCTGACCTCACATACTTAAAGAACAAACCACTAATTATTTTATGGTTGTCTAAACATATTCAAAAGTAGACCCCCAGCTCATAATTCCTCCTACTTTAGACTACAACACATATTTCCCTCTTGAATTTATATATCACTATAAGGATTCACATGTATTACTGTTTTAGCTTTGTTTTATGATGCTTATATAATTGACACATGTGGGGATCTGACATGCAAAGAAAAACTTAAATCCTAAAACTCAAGATTTTATTTCTGAACTTGGACACAGTGCAGAGAATTCAATGCTGAAAAAAGATTCTATGTTTGCCATTAGAGATGCTACAAACTACTTGAATTTGCATTCTTCGTGTATCGTTTCACTGTGTGTATTAATATATGACAGGAATCTAATTATGCATCATTTTATATTTTCTGGAGACCTTACTGCTTTTAAAAATACTTGTGGATAAATGAAGTAAATGTTCAGCTTATGCTCTATTTATCACTGAAAGAATCTGACAAAGAGTAGGTAGGTCCAGAAGACTTACTGAAAATTACATTCCTTTTTGAATTTAATATATGCACTGTTTTCAAAAAAATCTGAGATATAAACCTAAATGTAATATAATCCTAAAAAGACACTCTTCTCAAATTCTGGGATATCAGTACATGATATGCAACAGTAGGTGAATGAGAGATTGCAGTAACTAAATACGGTCCATCGAGTTATCAGTTCTTTCTACAAGAATTCCAGAGAAACCCATCACTTTTCCCAAGATGCAGAGCCCCTGCAGGAAATATTTAATATAAGTAATAAAACAAAATTAACCCTTCATTGGAAATCTAGTTATTTTTAAGCCTTCTTTCTTTGGAAATCTGGTTATTTTTAAGTTTCCTTTGAAGTAAGACTACTCAAAATAAAAGCAAGAAGAATACGAAGAATAAAAATAAACATTACTTAAATATAAACAAAATAATGAAATTCTGAGCTTGGACCTTCTGCCTTAATCTGCTGGGAAAATCCTCAAATTGAAAACTACCACCTAAATTTAAAAAAGTGTCTCCAATCATTTCTGTGGGTTTGACTTATAAGGTGGCACATATAAAAACATGTTTTTATACTCTCTCTACAGTCTTTTATACTCATTAGCTATATTCATTTAGTATAGCCAACAGTTCAATGCTCACAAGGAAGAATGTGCTTTTCTCTGGAGAGAAGAAGAGGTCCCAAATGCATATGATAATGAAGTACAGCAATCACCTTTTTTGTTCAATTTAACAATATCCTTTTCCAGCAGTTTGAAAATTATTCTATTCCATCAAGAAAATATGAACTAGGAACTCCTCCAAAAGCTCACAAAACTTTCCTCCTTAATTATATCATTGACATATTCTCAGTCCAAAAAAAAAAGCCAAAGTCATCAAAATAAAAGTATTGTTCCATAGAAACTACTCTTTTCAGCCTCTATACATTACATGCAAACAGAACCAAACACTTTACTCAGCTCCAAACTTCATTTCAAACTCAAATCAACCAAGTATCTCCACTGTAAATGCCCTGACATACCAATACCCATATGGAAGGGAGATGGAAAAAGAGACATATGCATAGAATTAGAGGATAAGAAAAAAATCTGTCTCCTACCTTTATTGTTTTTGAGGGCTGACACTTGATGTGATGGGAAACACTGGCAGTTTGGTTCATGTTTCAGGACCCTGGACAGTGCACAAGGCCAGGTGGAGTTCCAGGATGAAGTAGAGATCAAGTCTCTTCTATTGGACTTCAGTGAGGGCTCCTGCTGCTGCTGCTGCTGCTGCTGCTGCTGTTATCCCTGCTATTGCTGCTACTGCTCCTGCTGCTGCTGCTGCTGCTTTCTCACTCCGGAGGCTGAAATGCTGTCAGATTGGAGGGATCTGCATCTCAGCCCTAAAATAAAGCATTCACTTGGTTCACCATTCTCAAAGCTCTTGGCGATATGAAATACAAAGCCAAATACTTTCAATTCACTTGCACAGTACCATTTCAGTACTGAGATGTGACTGCTTCACAGTACAGCCAATAATCTTGGCTCTCATTCTCCTTTCAAAGGGACGGAACAAGAAAACACACAGAGATCAATTGCAGTTCCAGTTTAAAGGAACACTTGGACATTTTCAACTTCCCTTGATATAACCAGTTTATAATTTTTTCAGTGCAAAAGAAATCCCCTCCCTACTCCTTCACTCTTGATCCTTCACCCTCCCTATCTCCCTGAAATGCTATAATTCATTCTCATTTGGGAATTACATTTTATACAAATCTAGGTAGTGCTTGCAATGAAAACACCAGTAAATGCTGAAAAAGTACCTGTTGCCTGACATAAGGATTGCTAATTTTTTACATCTGTATGGTAAAGGACTGACTATTGCTATTTAAGAAATTCTGCAGTAACAGCTAACCAAGAGACTGAACTATAAACAGCTTTGTTATTTATTTGTATTAAAAAAAAGTTCTCAAACAATAATTAATAGATATGGCATTAAAGAAAGAACATGTTTTTCTTTTTTTTTTTCTTCCCTTTTCTTATTTTTAACTATTCTTTGTCTTGAGATCACATTTTATTTTCTGGGACAAACTAGTAAGCATCTCATACCAATTCAACTTCTCAATAGTTATATTTTTTCTCCAAATGACATTATATACAAATAAAACACAAATCTTAAAAAAGTTTCTGTGGTCACCGATCCCTGTTGTCATTTCAACACTCACTTGACTTTATATAACCTCACTGAAAAGAAGAGATCCAGTAGACTTGACTTAATGGAGGACATTATTTTCCAATATTTATTATAAAGTACTAGATGTGGCCTAAGCTGAGCGTGTATGTCTCATGTATTTTTGAAGACCAACACTTTTTACTCATCAGAAATATATCCAGCTGGTGAAGTGCCAGGTTTTTAAGTCTGAACTGCATGAAGCTTTTAGAAAGCTTTACAAGTGGGCCAAGAACATTACAGATAAACTCTAGCATGAGAAGGGATAAACTAATAAGTTTTGTGATGTAGTTAAATTTATACATGCTTTTAAAAATATTTCCTTTTTGAAACAGAAAATGGTCTACAGATTTTGCACAATAGTCCACAAATATTTGGAAAATGTGCTTCAGAGGGTGATGGTTCAAGCAGCACAACGGAGATAAGGAAGGACTTTAGAATGACAAGATAAGACTCAAGCTACAAAAGCTGATGACAGGAATGCTGGAGGAATCAAGAAAATAATGGAAAAAGAGATTGAGCCAATAGGAACCAAACATGTCCTAAATCTGGGACAGCAATATCAAGGTATCATAATGAGCACAGACAAAAGACCAAGAAATCTTGTGACTTCAAAGGTTAAAATTCTAAGCCATGAATGTGGCTGAAATTTGTGTCTTACATGTCGTTTTATTGAACAGCTATATTAAAAAACATAATATACTATATTACAAATTTTTACAAATGTGATCCATGGAAGTCATTTTATGTTATAAGTCTGTGGAACATTTAATGACATTTGTTCCTAAGATTCTATTTAAAACTTTGTTTTAAAAAATGTATTTATTGATGTCTCTAATTTTTTCTTCAATGTATGTTATCATAAGTAGAAATAACAGGTATAAACTGCATATTTTAATGTATAAAATAAATTATGTGTTTTTATTATTATTATTTTCATATACTTTTTACATCATTCGTCATTTTAATATAATGTATACTTTATGTTCTTGTGATCGGCCCCCAAGGAGTTCCCAACACAAATTCACGTATGCACCACCCCTGTAGTCCCTTGTGCTCTTCTACAAGGATCTTCTGCTTAATATTTTATAATATTGAAGATTATATATAGCATATGTACAACTTAAAGAGCAAGAAAATAAACAATAGTGTAGCCACCCTCAACCTAAGAATATAGAAGGTAGGTATAGTATAACAGTATACTTTATAGAGGTTTGATTTTAAAAATCTGAGGACAGAGGCAAAGATGTAAATCTACCTTCTCTCAAAAAAATATAATTTGAGAAGAGAAAAAAATAAAGCTAATTTTATCTTTTTAATTTTTTTAAAGATTTATTTATTAGTTATGCATACAGAACTGGGGCACAGGCCAGAGTCACAGGGGTGGTGAGCAAATTCACCAGAGACAGAGTAGAGAGCAGAACAGGCAAATGTACTGAAATACACTGCTGAGGGGAGCAGCAGAATACATGGCTGTGGGTCAGGAGAGGTCTGCTGCACCATATGTAGGTCACCTCCAGGGTGGGGTCAAACTAATACTGAAGCAGCTGCTATTAGCTTCACAGTGCTGCACTTTAACCCACTGTGCCACCAAGGAAGGCCCTTATCTCTTTTTTAATTGAGGTAACATTTGTTTACAATACAGTATGTGATCCAGGGACATAGGTTCACACCCTCAGATTTAGGTCAACATACTACAGCCAGCACCAAAGTACCTATAGTTCTTTACCAAACACCTCTGGGCACTCTCCACCCTTTGTTCCTACTCATAACCTCCATTCTTTGACGGTAGCCTCAATTCTGCAGTCATATGTCTACAGTTTGTTTTGTTTTAGTTCTGTCAGTTCCTTTGTCTTATCCCTCTATATTCACATGTGAGTAAAATCATTCAGTATTTGTCTTTCTCTTTCTGACTTACTTCATTTAGCATAACCTCCTCCAGTTCTATTCATGTTGTCATAAATGACAGGAGCTCACCTTTTTTTTTAAATAACTGAGTAGTATTCCATGATGTATATGTTACATCTTCCTAATCTGTTGTTCAGTATTTAGATTGTTTCTACAAATTAGCCTGGTAAATAGGGAAGCAGTGAATACAGTAGTGCACGTATTTCATTGAATTAGTGTTTTTGCATTCTCTCTGTATAAGTAAGTACCAAGATGATAAGGTATATCTACCTTTTAACATTTTTAGGAACCTCCAATCTATTTCCCATAGGAAATTGACCAGTCTACATTACCACCACCGGAGATCAAGGTCTCATTTGAGTTTTTTTCTCTGTCTGTTATTTTATCACATCATGAATTAAAAAAAAATGAAAATCATTAGTAATTGAAAAATATCTCTATATATTAACATACAGATTTTTATAACATCAGCTGTATCATAATGTATTCAGTTAGAATGAATAAACAACAGAAAATAAAGAAAACAAATTTAGCCAAATGCTATAAAATTATAATACATAATACTGTTTGACAAAAAAATTCATCTGTACTTATTTTAATAGAGATATATTAGTTCAATGTGTTTAGTGTGAGAAGTTGCAAAATTCCATTACAGTTTATCATAGTATAGGATTTTTTTTAATGTTCAGATATACTCAGGAAGAATCATAATAAACTAGAAATTTTAGATAATTTAATTCAAAGGACTGATTTTATATTTAACCAATACTAGTAGCAATCATATAAATATGTGTTGTCAGGTTTTATCCTTTGCAGAAAATTAGCAATGAATCTCTTCTATTCTTCTCACAAAAATATAAGGGACATGACCATTACTTTTAGAAAATATAAGCCATGATATTCCTTGAACTGCTGTTGTTTGATATGGGAATTATAAAGTTACAATTGGTTTAATGGAAATACCCCATGATAAAAACATCACTTTATTTGTTCTCCCACAAATTGTTCTCTTTGTTCCAGATCTTGGAAACTCTAGCCCTGAGCAGTTAGTCATAAGAGGACCTGCCAAATGTAAGCTTAGGCAAGCCCAAAGCCCAAGGATTTATCAAGTAGAATCATATCTTAAAATAGATTAGTCTGTTCCCTTGATGTTTAGAAACCAAGTTATTCTGCAACCATAGAGAAGCCATTTTTTTATCTTAACACTCACTGTATTTTTACACCAGTCTTCTGCTTGTCTGCTCACTGAATCTTTTGCTATCTTTACTAGAACCTGAATGTGATTTCAAGCTGTCAGAATCATTGACATGGAACTTAACACTCTTGCCTAATTCCTGCCTTCTGCTTCCTTCTGCATGAGTGATAACTACTTCTGATATCTGCTCAAATTCAGACCATTCTCTTGATTTCAACCAGATAAATGTCACTTACCTAATTCTGGCCTTCAGGGTGTTCAAGATTTAATCTTTCCTAGAAATCACTTGTATCACTAAGGATAAGCAAAATCAAACTGCAATAATAATCTCAAAATATCAGTACTAAAAGGATTTATTTTTAATTATGCTTTATGTCAATATTATGTTGTTAGGAAAGATCTTGCTAGCTAAGAGAATCTAAGCTAATAGTGGCTCTATCGATATATCCAAAATCAACATGGCAGAGAAAAATGAAAATCATACTCTTATTTAAAAGCTTCTATCTAGTAGTGGCAAATATAACACCTATTTACACTCTACAGCCACACCCAGGTTTAGGTAATAAGAAAGTGCCTTCTAATCTGTATCTAAAGAGGAGCGAAGTCAGAATAATAGTTAATAGTCCTACTGGTCATCTTACCCCTATTGTTGCTCTTTTCCACTCTGCACAGCCACATGACTCTCTGCCTGCCAGCCTCAAGATGCTAAAATGCTTCTGTTTGAGAGGCTTTACAACCTATGACAAATTCACCTGAAAGAGAGTGCAACTAGATACAACACATTCCCACTTTATCCATGTGTCCTCATCAACAGGTTTTCATAGTAATTTTTGTTGGTTCTTTAGGAGTAGGACACAAACCTATAATAATCCTTGTGTGCAGGAAAACACCAGAGACAAAAGAAAGTTAAGTGTGTGGACTTTTCTTCTGCTGGTTCATGAAGTTCTACAATGACTACAGACCTTGATAGCAAAAGAAGCAGCTCTGACTATATCCAGAAAACATACTCTTTATGACACTCTATAGCAACAAGAGACAGATTCTTCTATCCTTTAAGCATTGTAACTATTGAAACAACAACCAAAAAAGTGAAACTCACAGCTTTTGTTATTTCAACGGGAATCATTTCAAGGACTGCCTTTAAGTGTCCCATGATAGCACCATGAACTCCCAAGTAGCAATAAAATGCAACTTGGTTTCAGGTTTATGGGGAAAGTAATAATAAAACACTTTTATCTTGGATGGTCAAATATTGCATACTCACTGCCTATAATCCACCTTACTAGAATCATGTGTCGTAATATTACTATGAAGCAGTATGTTAA